ATCATGTGGCTGCAACTATGCAGACAGCATGCACACGGTCAACAGGGTCACCTACTGTTCAACTAAGCAGTAAGACACTTGACGTAAGTGGTTTTCAATGTAGTCTGATTGTCGGTGCTGTACGTAGTTCTTCCTGAACCATTTCAGCAACCCTCCTGGGACCACAGAGTGTGGAGTTTAAGGAGAACGGTTTGATGAACAAAAAACATCCAGTCAATGACGCTTCTACAGCCAAAAACACCTTCTTAATGAGAGAGGGCAGAGGAGACTCGTTAAAGCTAACAGGAAGACACAAGTGGAGAAGTGACAGCTCTGTGCAACAGTGCCGAGGACCCTGGAGATAGACCCTCCTTGTTAGTAGATAAGTGCACCCAAAATTTTATATATTTTAAATAAAAAGTATATTTTAAATAAAAAGGAGCATTCAAAACAAGTAAGGCCAGAAATCTGACTCTAAATATCTAAAGTCTAACTTTTGCTTTGTTGTGATTAGAGATTTGAGACAAGATTAAATAGACATGAAATAGAATAATTAATAAGCACTTATATATAATGTTTATTGTTTTGGAATATAAGATGTTCACTTTATGCAAGAAAATGTTAATTTGTGAATTTGTTCCATTCTATAGCATAATATTTCATTTGCCTTTCCTTAGATGTCAAATAAGACTTTTTTTTAGGTTGGAATGCCATCCCTTGATGAATTTCTAGGCTTGTTTCACTTGGGTGATGTTAACAAGATTGTCAATATTATTTTAATGGTTGAACCTCTCCCATCTACAATCTTTCCAGCACGTCGACTGTATCGAAATCCATCAGCTCCAGTTTACGCCTTTATATTAATAATAAAACAATGAAATGCTTGTGTTAATTAAAACTCCAGGAGTTTTCTTTATGAGGGCCACCAGAAATTTTTGATTGATCCAAAATATTTCACAGCAAACTGAATTTATGAACCACCACATATCAATTACAAATAATTTTATTTTCGGCCAACTCAATTCAAGCGCAAATGCCCCATACACATTCACATCAAGTTACATGCTTGGCAGACTGTTTTCAAAAGCTGGCAATATAAATATTGTCCAAAGGCTTGTTTGATCACTGGGCAGATAACATACACTATATGGACAAAAGTATTGGGACACGCCTCTTAATCATTGCCTTCAGGTGTTCCTTTCAGACCCATCGCCACAAGCAATGAAGCACCGAGCCATGCAGTCAGGTTTACAAACATTTGTGAAAGAATCGGTCATTCTGAAGAGCTCAGTGAATTCAAGCGTGGTACTGTCATAGGATGCCACCTTTGCAATAAGTCAGTTTGTAAAAAATTTTCCCTGCTAGGTATTCCAGAGTCAACTGTAAGTGGTATTATCGTAAAGTGTAAGTTTTTCAAAACAACAGAAACTCAGCCATGAAGTGACAGACCACGTAAAGAGCAGTGCTGCTGAGTGCTGAGGCACACAGTGCATGAAAGTTGCCAACATTCTGTTGACTCAATAACTGCACAGTTCCAAAACTCCTCTGGCATTTACCACAAACACTGAGGGCCGAGATCTTCATGGAATGGATTTCCATGGCTGAGGAGCTGCATGCAAGCCTCACATCACCAAGCGCAGTGCCAAGTGTCGGATGGAGTGGTGTAAAGCACACTGTCACTGGATTCTGGAGCAGTGGAAGCATGTTCTATGAAGTGACAAATCATGCTTTTCTGTCTGGCAGTCTGATGGACGAGTCCAGGTGTGGTAGATGCCAGGAGAACATTACTTGCGTGACTGCATTGTGCCAACCATAAAGTTTGGTAAAATAGGAGTAATGGTAAGGGGTTGTTTTTCAGCAGTTGGGCTTGTCCGTTCCAGTGAAGGGAACCCCTAATGCTTCAATATGCCTAGACATTTTTGACAATTCTATGTTTGGAAATTTGTGGGACTAATTTGGAGAAGGCCCTTTCTGGTTCAGCATGACTGTGCTGCAATGCACGAAGCAAGGTCCATAATAACATGGTTGGATGACTGAGGTGAGGAAGTACTTGATTGACCTGCACAGAGCCCAGACCTCAATCCCATCGAACACCTTCAGGATAAACCATTACGGAGATTGCAAGCCAGGCCTTCACGCCCAACATCAGTGCCTGACCTCACAAATGCTCTTCTGGATGAATGGGCAAAAATTCCCACAGACACACTCCAGAATCTTGTGGAAAGCCTTCCTAAAAGAGTGACAACTGTTATAGCTGCGACGGGGGGACTAACTCCATATTGATGCCTATGGATTTAGAATGGGATGCCGTAAAAGTTCCTGTAGGTAGCCAGGTGTCCCAATACTTTTGACCATACAGTGTACCTGCACAGAATTAAAAAAAAAAAATCTCAGAATCTGAATGTGCAGACAATAGGTGTGATGATGTCATGATGGTCAATACAAATATTAATTTATCAGTCTTTTACACACTGGAGAACATAAACGCTGCATGACCTGTTGTCAAATACCATCATCTTTGATGCATTCCTCTCATTTCAGTAACATATAAAACTGTAGTATTACATTTCTTTGGTCCCTCCTTCTTCCTCCTTTCTTGCTGCAGTCTCTTTACGCTCATGTTACTGCAATGATACTGCAATGTCATGCTGCTGTGCCTCACAGAGACATGACAACCCTACTTTTCATTCATTATTAAAGGTCACTTTCTCCACCCTGACCCTCAACGCCGGCACTTCGCAGGGAAGCGTTCTGAGTCCACTGCTGTACTCCTTGTTCACGCCTGACCGTGGCCAGACACAGCTCCAACACCGTCATTATGTTTGCTGAGGACACCACCAACAAGATGTGGCTCATGCCCCCATTTGCATTGGAGGAGATGCTGTGGAGATGGACAGCAGCTTCAGGTTCCTTGGAGTCACCCTCAGCGATGACCTCAAATGGACAGAGCAGCTGTCACCCAGATGTCCACCACAGTCCTCACCAGTGTCTACAGGAGAGCTATGGACTCCACCCTCACAGGGTGTATAACATGCCGGTGAGGCAGCTGCTCCGCACACGAGAAGAAAGCCCTGCAAAGTGTGGTGAAAACAGCTCAGAAGATCCCTGGCACTCCACTCCCAACAATGAAGGACATTTATACCATGCGCTGCCAAAGTGTTTCATGAAGGACTCTAGCCACCCTGCACTGCCTCTTCTCTCTTTCCTGCCTTCTGCTAGGAGACACAGGTCAACGCTCACATGCTTCACAAGATTCAGGAAGAGCTTTTACCCCAGTGCTGTCAGACTGTTCAACATACACTGCTGTGACATATGAAGGTGTAATGTGCAATAATAGCAATGCTTACTATGTGCAGTATAATGTGCAATATACAGTATACTAACAGTGGGTTCAACAAACTTACGTGCAATATTGCCAACACAAAATACACATGCTACAGACTGTTTAAAAAACACTTCACACCTGCACTCTTATGGTCACTCATGGACACCCTGTCAATAGCATGTTATTTGTTAGCTGTTTACTGTTTGTTGTTTATTTAATGTTAGTTATTGTAATGTTGCACTGCTCTGTTAATTGTTACAACCAGTAACCCAGCAAAAGATCATGCATTCCCCCCCACAATTTTTTTACTATTTGTGATTTACAATCTTGCATCATGTAATTTGCTAACAAGGTGTTTTCGTTGAGCAAAGGGTCAGCAGGAATTATGCGGGGAATTGAGAGGGGTGTTGGAATCAGCTAGAAAGACCACCCACATTTAGGGCTGTAGAGCTGTCGGTAGCAGAACAGAGGAGTTCTTGTTAGCCTCTCGTGGCTTTGCTGTGCCAGATGCCATATGCATAGAGAGCCAACAAAGAGGTGCATCAGGCAGTCAGGGTGTGCTGAGGGGGGAGTCTGAGGTGGAACATTCCAACCCCCCCAACCAACCAACAAGTACCTTGTCATTGGGACTTCCTCTAAAAAGCTGTAGTGGCTTTGGGGGTGGGGGGGATGCTGTTTACATTGCCCCTCCACTTCCCACAGAATTCCCGGGCTGTGACCATGCAGATAAAATGCGTGCCTTCTGCAGACACAGACAAAACAACAGCCATGCTCTTCCGCTTCCCTCAGGCGGTAGTTTTAATAAGTCTATCCTCTGGGCATGTGCTCAACGGATGCCATGATTTCACAACTGCGTGGGAAGCATGGATGGGACATTTTTACACAATCAAAGTCATCTTCAGCCTTCTCATTCTTTCTTTACACTATCTTAAAATTCACCCAAATTCCAGCCAAATAGTTATGACACAGCTGCATATTTCTTATACCAGCTGGCATCAGAATTAATGTTGAAACTGCCTGCCACTATCTGGATATCTATCCAGCATGTTGGGTTTGTACTGGCAACCAGGTGTCAGAGCCAAGTGAACTGATTTGCATTTCTTTAATTGTTAAATACTCGAAGAAATGCCACGGCCTCCTAAGAGATCAAAGAAATATTACCTATTTGATGAGTTAAGGTTCCGTTCTTGGGGTGAGCAGACAGCAGTGCAGACCCCCCTTGCAAAAGGCAGTGATAAAAGTAGGTCTGCAGAGACGAGTGTGTATTAACTTAAGTCTTTATTAGGGAAAACTAATTCGAGTCAAAAAATAGCCACATTCTTTGCCACAACAACAAATTATAACGCATCACTTAGTAAGCAGAAAATATCAAAGTGCACTAAATATAGATAAGAAATATTTTTCGATAAGAAATACAATATCTCAAAATACTCCAGATATTAACTTTTTCTTTTAAGTTTCATTTGTGAATCTGTTCAAGTACTGCCGAATTTTTTGTCATAACTGTCTGGCGTCTGTAGTTCTTTTCCCCTTAAAGCGAAGGGCAATAAAACTAATAAAAACTACACTTCCCGAAAACGAGCCATTACGAGCTTCACTCGTTCAACGTTGCTAGTATTTCAACGATTTGGTTGGTTAGACACAATTGATTGATCACATTCTAACCAATTAGATCTGGACTAGATTATCAGTACCTGAACCACTGACCGGCTTTTTGCCAGCTCACAAAAAGTGCCACGACTCCACAAGACTGCTGCTACTCTGAAATACTGGGAACGGGAGGCTGTGCAGAGTTTTTTTTTGCGTTTGAGAAAAGGAAGAAGGAAAATTGGAGGCTTAAAATACATCTTTAAACATTTTTGACCTACATTTTTGAAGCGGTCTACAACTACTCCAAAAGGTTGATAAGGTGAGGTCAGGGGGATTTATTTTATGTTGGTTGACCACTCAGATGATACCTGGAAAGATGGCTAAATTTATTCATGTTTTTAAGTCTTAAATATTTGCCCAAGTCTGCTAGTGTAATGCACATTACATACCCACTGATTACAAGTGCAGATTAAAACCTAACCCACTTCCACGATACTGAATTTTAGTTGAACTGTAGCAAATGTGGCAAGTCCTCAAAATATTTTTATTACTGTTATAATAATACATCGAGCACGTTTTTGACATAGGGATTGTACTTAACTAGTTCTTCCTCCATATGTCTATAGTAAACGGGAAAATTCAGCCAGTTGGCTAGCGACACGTTGAACTGTTGCATTATAACCAGCTATAACGTTACCCACGTAGCTAGCTGTTTGAAGACTTAAGACGAGACGATGAACATATTTAAGAGAACCCAGGATTCTTTTGTTTTTCGGCACATCAGTTAAGTAATTTTAAAAACGTCAAGTAATCACAAACGCTTAATCATTTTAATGTGTGCCGGGCTAGTACACTTTGTTAGTTCCTGTGGAATTTTTCATGAAACGCTTTTTTCCAGTTGTCAAGTTTATAAGATTGCTAATATTGCGAACATTTGGCAGTAGGGGAATTTAAATGATCAGTGATGTGGATGTAGACGCCTTTTTAGCCAAATAAATGTTAAAGGACTTATTGGCTGCATGTTTTTCGTGCGGCTACGCAGAAGTTGGATAACTTTGATTCGATCTCCCCCCCCCCGACATTAACACAGCTACTTTTAGTACGTTATCCGGTGTCGCTGACTTTCTGCATACTTTTAGATGCTGCTAAGGTGATCCCTTTCCGTCCTTAAACGTTGCATTTTGTGCGCCCCTTCAGACAAAAAGAATGCGCACTTCGGTAAATCGGAGTGACGTGTTCGCATGTAACGCCGAATCCACGCCGGATGCGTTACGCGATGCTTAATGAGCGCGTGCCGATGAGACGGGGGGGTTAAACCGGAGTTTAGTGTTCGTGTGTAACGCGACGCCTAATGAGCTCGTGATAATGAGGCGGGCGGTTCCGAGCTCTCGTGTGTCGCTTCGGTTCGGCCGCTTCATTAGAAGCTCCTCCCTTGTCTGTCCTCGTCACGCGTGGAATCGGCGTTACCCGACCTGAAGATGCCGCATTGTGTGCTTAAGCCGCCCCGGTCCTCGGTTGTGTGCTGCTACGTGTCCAGTTGTGTGCTGCTACGTGTCCTTCCCCCTTCCACATCTTTTTTTATTATACATTATTTTTATCTTTCGGAAATATTCTATCACCACTGGCCGTTATCATACCTCACCATGTATTTTGTACTTAAATTGAAATGTATTATGTATTTAAATCGAATAGTTATCTTGTGATATGCTTTGTTAGACCGAATGCTGATGTAATCACTTTCATGGCGATCTGTGTATCCGTAGTGGACATTTAATTGGGGAATGCCCCATTCAGCATCTGGTGCTGACTCGAAAGTTGGCGATCCCAGTTAAGACGTAATCAAGCGACTAGCCCTTGTACTTAAGACTTAGAAATCAATGTCAGCTAAATTACCACCTCAACTAAACAAATGTATGCTGTTAATTTTTTTCCAGAATATTAGCAAAATGTGTTTTGTGTTTATACAGTTGGTGAAAGGCAATTATGGGGCCTTTGGGTAATTAGAAGTTGTTAGTTTTTCTCCTGAAAATGAAGTCTGTGGATGGGATAAAGCTGACTTTTTTACCCCACAGGGCAGTTCTTGTCGTATGGTGGGCATTGACCCACTTGCTCTTGCCCTTTGAAAAGGTCTCTTTACTTCCTGTGTATCATATTCCAACGTGGAAAGTGTACAGTGAAAATATGCTGAGAAATTGAAGGTGTCTTTGACTAGATGTGAGGCCTTGTCTTTTGTTTAGTCAAATGTGCCTAAAAAAATAACTGTGTAGGAAACTTATTCCATGGTTGCTTGTATCTTTATACTGTCTGTACAGTAACAACTTATAATGGGTCTTTATAAAAGGTATGAGGGGTTCAGCTCTTGGGGCCTCCGTTGCTATGACACCCCCGGAGGTCCAAGATGACACTGGGGGGCCCCAGTGAGTGAAGCGGGCCTGGTCCTCTGGGAATCCTTCAGGAATGGGGAAAGTGGAAGTGGTGTTCACATGCATAGTGTGAAAAGGTTTGGGTAGGAGTGGTCAGTGGCAACGTGGGAAAAGTATGGTACAACTGGCCTGGGGGGAGGATTGGGGTCAGGGAAATTGTACAACTTAGGTTCTGTGCAGGACAAAATGACCAGGATTGCCTTTTGCTAAAGAAAAGTTCCTCTCGGGTAGCAGGAAGCCTTCTGAGCCGCTGTCCAAGGATAGTGCCATCTGTTTTTCTTAAAATGTGTGTTCAGTGTTGTGAACTTTGTGTGTGTGTGTGTGAATGTATGCCGTAGCTGCTACTGTCAGTCCTGAGTTGTTGTTGAGAAGCTAGGATGTTCTTGCCCTTAAATATATATATTTTAGCCTTACTAGTCTGCAGCCATTTAAATATGTGTGGACTTTCAAAAACCCCCTGCAAAGCAAAGAGCTGCTGTTGTCTAAAATAGTTTTCCAGTATGGAGTTACCTTATTGTGAAGAATGCCAAGCTGAAAGTGGAGGAAATTCCACGATCACTTTTCTGAGATAATGCCTGTCTGCTGTACTTTGAACCAAAAGAAATGTGTTCCTAGATAAGAGATTGTAATTACAGTCGGCTGACTCTCCAGCACAAAGCTGTCTAATGCTGTGTCTTTATTTTCCTGACCTTTATCGCCTAAGATGGAGTGCAGTGCTCTGGGTGGATAATAATGCCAATTCTGGAGGCAGCATGCAGTGAGACTTGTGGTGATTGAGGTCACTTATGTTGCACTGGGGAATCTCAGAACTAAGTATTAGTTAATGCGGTGGAAAAGTTTAGCTTGTATGGTATAGAATAACTTGGGGAAGTGATATTCAGAACAATATAAAAAGGAAAGGAATAAAATCAATGACTTCCCCATCCTGCTTTTATGCTGCCTGTTAATTGATTCGTTGTCTGCTTAAACAGGCTTGACTGAACGTTCCTCGTGCAGCCATGGACATCTATGACCCCCAGACCCTCGGCATCATGGTGTTCGGCGGCTTCATGGTGATCTCTGCCATCGGCATTGCCCTGGTGTCGTCCTTCTCCATGAAGGAGACCTCATACGAGGAGGCCTTGGCCAACCAGCGGCGAGAACTTGGCAGGACGCTGCCTCAGCGCTCGGAGAAGAAGAAGAAGGAGAAGCCTTCGGAGAAGAGGAGCCGTGCCAAGAGAAAGGATGAGAAACCCAACGGTAAGCTACCCGAGTCGGAGAGAGTCCCGGAAGCTGGAGAGCCAGTCAGCGACTCGGAGCACGAGCCGCCAGCCACCCCTGATCTCACCCCTCCCGTCTTGGAGTCTCCCATCGTCGTTGCCACAGCTGCGCCCGTTCCTGTTGCTGCCACCCCTGTACCCATACCTGCCCAAGTCTCGGCCCCAGTCCCTGCCCCGGTTTCTGCCCCAGCTGCTCCTGCCCCTCGCCCTGCTGTTGTGGAATCTGGCCCTGCTCCCTCCCCAAAGGACAGGAAGAGAAAGGAGAAGAAGGTAGCCAAGGTGGAGCCCGCACCCACCCAGACTGCCACCGCCCCGCCTCCCAAGGCCCCGCCCGTCTTGGAAGTGGTCACCAAAGAGGTGCCGGTCATGGCTGTGCCACCTGTTGGCCCGCGTCCCTCTGCTCCGGTCACCGTCGCCCCTGCTCAGACGCCTATGAAAACAGAGGAGTCCAAGGCTGAGCCCCCCCCCAGGAAAAAGGCAGCTTCCAAGAAGAAAGCTGAACCAGGTGAGCTGTGACCCTCTGTGGGTCACACGGTTTCAGGCCCATGAAGGGCGCCCTCTACAGGATGGTGTCTGGATCAGAATGGAGGGGCAGCTTTCTGTGTGCAGTACGATGGGTGATCGTGCAGCAGTAACATATCAGGGAAAGTTTAAAAGTAAATATTAGTGGTGCACCAATACAGAAAATTTGACCTGTGCTGATGGCATATTTTTATGTAATATCACTGATGCTGATAACCGACTGACCTCATAGTCACTTGCTGAGTGGAGGTGGGGTTGATGTCCCTTATGTCTTTGCTTCTGGTGCTGTTTAACATTTAATCCTGATAGTTAAAATGTCAGACAAAATTGACACATCAGACCAATACCGGTATGATGATTAACAAATATCACATCAGATCCCTTTTATTGTCACATTACCAGGACGAGAGATGTAGGGAATGAAAGTCTTGGGCCATGATTTTCCTATCAGCAGTGCAGTACATGAAATAAATGCAAACTGTGCATAAAACAGCCGTACAACGGTGTTCACTCACAGACCAGGTGCTTCACAGCAGTTTAGTGTACCAGAGGAATTCACCAGTGCAGTGGGGAGTGGGGGTGGTGACCTGTGGGGTGGCAGACCTTAGCTGGAGTTCAGCATCCTGGTGAAGAAGCTGATCCGGGGTCTGCTGGTCCGGCTCTTGGTGCTGCTGTACCATCTGCCTGACTGTAGCAGGGGGAGCAGAGCGTGCCGGAGGTGGCTGGGGGTCCCTGATGATTTTAGCGGCTTTCCCCCGGCTCCGCCTGGTGTAGGTGGCCTGCAGGGGGCAGTAGCGGGGCGAGCAGAGTGTGTCCAGGGTGGCTGGGGTCCCTGATGATTTTAGCGGCTTTCCCCCGGCTCCACCTGGTGTAGGTGGCCTGCGGGGGGCGGTATCTCCCCTCCGATGACCTGTTGGGCAGAGCACACCACCTTCTGCACTGCTTTGCTGTTTAAGGCAATGCAACTTCTAAATACTAGCTGATATATTGTGCATCTCCTAATAAATACAGAAGTAAAGTAGTAAATGGTTTAGTGCCTTTGTTTGTTCACTTATGTCATTACTACTGTGGGATTTTGCTGTAAGTTTTGTTTAGAGTAGCTAGTTTGTTTCAAATCTTTCTGTTGAATCATTTTGTTTGGGTTTTTTTTTTTTTTTTTTGCCTTCATGTCAACCAAAAGAATGACAGCCCTATTCATTAAGCTGGGGCAAAACCACGGTGTTTTAGGTTTGTGATGGATTTTCACCTGGGGCACCAGGTGAACTTGAGGAGGGACATAAAAATAGCTTCTGTGAAAGCGGTTAAGCGCTGAGGTCTAGGGAGACGTAGCACCACCAATAGCCCCTGGGGGGAGCTGGTTTTCCCCATCCATCCCTCTAAATACAGCAGCTTGTTGGTGCATTAGTCTGACAGCAGTGACGGTGCTGGCCTTTGTTCTCTGGTCAGGGTGAGGGTGCTCAGCCTTTACCCCTCCGCTAAGTGCACACGCTGTGTCTTTGATCCCAGCGTCCCGGTTGGTGCCCCGCAGCAGGCGTGGCGCTTGATTGGTTGTCAATGTTGAGCTTCAGCAGCTGTGGAAATGGGCCCCGTTTATGGTCTTAACATCTGTTTCACCAAAGAGGGAACATCTCATAGTTCGGGGAGCCCTCTGTGCATCTATTTGGGGCTGCTTCTTGCCAATGCTTATCTCCACGTAAAGACGGCCAGTAATCTGTGTAGTAAAACGAGAGCACTGTATTCCTGGGAACAGTTCATCTAATGTTTTATTTAGCATGTTCCATTTCCCTAATTGACTGATTTCTTGGCGAGTTTCCCGGATTGTCAAGTCAAATGTAAATATTTTAAATGGAAATAAATGGCAGGATTCTGCCTTGATGGGCCTTCGGACTTTGGTGCAGTCCAGAAGAAAGTGATATGATATCGGTGGTGGCGTATGGGACTTTCTTCCTGTCGTTGGCCCACAGAAAGCCAGCTTATTTGGGTTTGGCTGTGGTCCCTCCCTGAAACCGGCAGGATTGAGTCCGTCTGGTTGATTCGACCACTGCAATTACAGCCGCGTCCTTGTGCGAGCGCTCCGGAAGAGAGCCGCCGCTGCAGACCCGAGCCGGGCCTCTGCGTGCGTAGCTGCATGTCTCGCGGTGAATTGGGAGGGGGATGCTTCGGATGGAATGATTTGTGACGGGAGGGGGTGGCCTGCTGGTGCAGACAGACGGAAAATAGAAAGTGTAATGTGTGTCTGGAGCGGGTGTGTGACTGGTCGCCTTCGAAGGAGGAACGGTAGAAGCACGACTGGGCTGGATCCTCTAATTAAATGATACACTTGGCCGCTTCACCTGAATTCAAAACAAGGCCGCAGATGTATCTTATCGGGAGTTTTTGCAGATATTTTTAGGTATGGAAAAATTCCAGTGGTGTAATGGTCTTTTTCTGTGTATGTGATGTGTGATGTTTGCAGCCTGTGCGTAACTGTGGGTGGTGCCCTGCTCCTGAGCGTGAGGCCTGCGTTTTGTTTGTGGCGTCACGCAAAGGGTTTCCGACACATGCGGTAAAGTTAGCCGGAACGCCAGTGCGCCAGCATTGCAGCCCCGGTTACGGTCTGACATCCGGACGCGTGTGCCTGGATGGAGGACTCGCATGCACGGTGTGTTGATTTTACCTATCACTAGGGCGACCAAGGTAGTTTGTGGGATGGTTTTATCCAGTACCTTTTTTTGTCCTCTGAGGCTCTTCTGATGGATAGACGATTCTCTTGCTAACCTCCCCCTGCTATCTTGTTGATCACAGGCTTTTTGAGTGTTGTCTGTGCCAGTGTGCTCAGAGCATTGGTCCAGGTTGTCCCAAAGTATTGTGAGTTGCCTCCCCACCCCAGGTCCCGAGCCCCTAGCACAGAGTAGCCAGAGTTGCGGCTCACCCCCCCTTGAGCGTGGGTAACGTGTACTCGACAGAAGCTCTGGCAAATATCATTAGCCCCCAAAAGCGTTGCTTTGGGCTTCAGCAATGGAAGTTTAATAGGTACCAGAGTCATCTATAGAAGGATGGAGAATCCTGAAGGGGCTGTTATGTAAACTGTTGTGCAGCAGGTATCTTCTGGACGTCCACAATGCTCTTACGGCTTCTACATGGCTGGATGGTGGTGGCAGGAACCAGTGCTTCTATAATGTAGAGTAGAGCCACACGGCACTTGAGAATTCAGCCTGGCGGATTTGACTAAGAAGTTAAGTATGCAAGCTTCTGGTTCTCAGCCCTGTCCTTCGTGGGTGAATAGGAAGAGTAGTGTCCCATCAGTCCCTCTTTTCAAGGGGGGTGGGGGGGAGCAGGGTAAGATTTTCCATACTCTCACCGAATGCTTTCCAAGCGCTACTGTAAGCATGCTGGGGGAGTCTCTAGTCTAGCCGTTGACTTTAAAAAAAAAAAAAAAAAAAAAGTGGACGCATGGAATGTGACATTCTGAGAGTGCTGGGGGGGGGGGGTTGTCAGTGGCTTCTCACAGTAGGATGATTGAGGGGTGTGGATTAGCAATCGCGCCGCGCTTCTTTCCGGCGATGGCGGACTGCGAGGAGCCGCGGTTCGTGGCTCAGCCCCGTTCCATCCAGTCTCTGGCTGGATGATGGTCTGGCACACGCCGGGGACTGCGGGCGTTCGCCTGAGAAACGCCCAATTAACAAGCGACTTTTGTTGCTTTTTGATGGTAGGAAAGGAAACGGTTTCTTTCCAGTTTGAACGTCGGAGTTTATGGCGCGGAGCCTGCTCTAGTCGGAGTGAAGATCTGGGTGGATTGTATGACCCAGCAGTGGGAAGTGGGCACTGCGCCAAGCACTGGCACACCTGGTATCAAAGGGTCGGAAGAGTTTGGGCTTTCCAGGCAGAGTGAAATATTCCAGCGGGGGTCGTTTCCCAGTCTGCCTCTTAAGTGGTGTTAATGACGCCGTGTGGAAATGGGGAGGCCTGTCGCCTGGGTTATGGATCGGAGGCGTGTTTGTGCCTCACGCCTGACTTTCCTGGCTGTGTGCTTAGGTCAGCTAGCGACTGTGTTTCCCTTAAGCGCGATGAGTAGCTGTGGGGTGCAGCTTAGTCACGCTCCTCGGGCGAAGCGGTGTGGCCGTCCAGTCATGCCAACGTCGATACCGGTGCCGAATGACATCAAGTGCATGGCGGGATATTTTGTATTGAATTCAAAAAATGGATATAGTTGTATATTATAGGACTGGACGACGTGCCATATTAGTACCAACATCTCATGTTTTGCACATCCAATTCTTACATTGGTAGTCAGATTACGCTTTTTCTTACTTTCAATTCTGTATGAACATTATAGTGGGGGGTGGTTAAAGTTTTGCTAAAATGCTTTTATTCTGTTTGTCATAGGAAAAAAAAAAAACACTTGACAAGCTTTGCAATTGTAATTATTCCTTTTATAGATTCTTATGTTTAAGAACCATTTTACCTCCGCTGCGTTTGCATGAGCACTGCCTACGTCCTGAGACAATCGTAATCATTTCCATCTTTGGCATTTAAGTAACTCGAAGATGGGTTTGAGAGAAATTTATGAACTCCGCTTTTTTGTTTTATAAATACCCCAATATTTATTACATCAAAATCACAATGCTAAGATCAGCGCGCCGCTACCATTAGCACTGTCACCTTTTCCTCATGTGCTGTAACGCCGTCAACACTCTCTCCTCCCCCTTTAGCTCCGGTGGCCCCCGCAGCCACTGATGCTCCCCTCAGCTTGCCCTACAAGTCTCTGGCCTCCACGCTACGCGGCACGACGCTCAACGAGGGTGAGGTGCAGCGGCTCATGGAGATCCTGTCGGAAAAGGCTGGCACTGTGCAGGGCACCTGGCACACGGTATGCCCCCCGCCAGCTCTCCGGAGCCACCTTCGGACGCCTGTAGCTGTCCCAGCTCCCGCGTGATCCAGTGGAGACAGGGATGCTGAAAAACTGCCCCGGCTTTGTCTAACGAGCCGCCGTGATGCGTCCGGAGATACAGGAACTCCCTGCTTCCTTGCCTTGGCATCTGGCCGTGTCTGATTAGACCTTTGCACACAGCCAGCCAGTGATGTGGCTTTGATACGGCTCCTTCCTTTTATGCCGTCTGGCCGTGACTGTGACCGCCATTCAGCACTAAACACTTGCTGAGGTCAAATATGTGTAGCGGAACGCAGTTTGTTCTGTGGCCTGTTAGTCTAGTGCGACACCCATTCATGGTGAGGCATCTCAACCCTGACTGCATGGATGCTGGAACAGAGATCGTTAGGGGCTCTCTGTGAATGATCTGTGAATGATTTTGTTGTGGTTTTCATGTTGTTGTTTGTCTGTCTGAGCCGAACTTCACCCTGTTTCCAGGAAGCATTTAAAATTCCTTGCATATTTGCATGATTTTTACTCATTTAGGTTCAGCTTTAGTGTAATGAAATGCTTCCTAATCTATTTCCTATTGACGAGCTAATAGAGCCATGTGTCAAGTTTAGTGATGCTGACAGTGTTTTAATTTTCAAATATGGGCGTACTTGCTTAAAATAAGATTTGAAGTAGATCCAATACCAAATAAATCAGTTCACGGAACTTTTATGCTGCCCTGCACTTAGCTGACCACCTGAAAATTCTGAATTGAACAGGCTGTTGGATGCAGTCTTACGATGAATACTGCCTCATGTCTGACTGCCTTTCGCAAAGCAAGGCTCCCTGTTAGATTCTCTGTCGTCTGACTATAAAAGTAACACTGAGGAGATGCTGATGGTGTTGACGTTGATGGTGTTGACGTTGATGGTGTTGACGGCCTTAGCCTGGCAGTCAGTGAGAGCCGCCATAAAGACGACAAAGAGCCTGTTATGTTTTTATTCCTGTGACCCTGTAACAGGGCGTCAGCTGCAGTGGAGCAACCTGCTCGGCCAATCGGAGGTTGTTATAAATCTGCATCAGGTTTTCATGTTTTGACGTCTTGCCCGTTAGGTTGCGTGTGTCGGGTTTCAGACGCCCGTCGGTCCGAAATGTCATTTCCTGGCATTGACCCCCCCACCCCCAATTCAGGCCACCCAGAGGGGGGACCCCTTGGCTGTGCTGAAGAAACAACTGGAGGAGAAGGAGAAGCAGCTGAACGCGGAACAGGAGGACGCCGCTGCAGCTAAGGGCCGCCTTCGGGAGCTGGCCAAGGTGCGAGTGGTGTCCATCCCAACGGGAGAATCCGTGCCGTTCCGGCCAATTAGATCTGTCACTGGTGACCTGACCCGACCCGTCTGTCTTCATCTTGCAGGAACTGTCTGTGGAGAAGACCAAGCTGACCAACGTGGAGACGCGGCTGAGCTCCCAGCTGAGCTCCCGGGAGCAGGAGATGAAGGCTCTCCAAGCTCGCATGCAGGCCAGCTACCAGGACCATGTTGCTGAGACCCAACGGCTGAACGCCAAGGTGGGGCCACATGCCACATCAGGGGCTGGGGCCTGGGGGTTCCAGTGGGCTTCTGGTCTGCAGCATTGGTCTGGGGGCTGCGATAGGGTTCTTCAGATATTGTGCCTTTGATGTCATCCTGTTGAGCGCGGTCTACTGGAATGCCGCGTACTGTAGTATGAGGTCTGCTATCCCTGAGTTGGAAAGCGGTTGTGTGTGTGACCACCTTCCTGGCAGGATCTAGCAGTGCCTCTGTTGGCATCCGGCGTGTCATTGAAGATTTCACTTTGGTGGCGGTGTGCTTTGAAGTCTGTGTTGCTAGCATGCCCGTCTTTGAATGTGAATGAGACTGCGCCCACGTGAAATCTCCCTCATCTGCATCTGGGTCCTGGCCAGAGTCATGTGATGCTGGGATTTGAAGTCCAGCTCCTATTGTGCGGAATTGTATGTAGGTCCAGAGTCTCCGTTCCATTTGGCTGGCTGCCCTTATTTTTTTCTGCAGAAGGTCCGAAAGCTTGCGCACTTAGTAATGCAAGCAGCTGCCTTGTAGCGTGACTACAGAGACTTCTTGTTTTTTTTTTTAACCAGCTGCGAGAAAGAGGCAGCGATGTCTGTCAGCTGTCCGATGGTAACACTAAACAAGGAACCCCCACCCCTCCACATGCACACAGATCCAGAGCCTGCAGGACCAGCTGGAGAAAGGCCCCAATGCCCAGCTCGCCCGCCTGCAGCAAGAGAACTCCATCCTGCGTGATGCCCTCAACCAGGCCACCAGCCAGACCGAAAGCAAGTGAGTGCCAGAATTGGGGGGGGGGGGGTGGGTGATTTGGAACTGGTGATGACCCATGCTGAGTCCCGGGCAGGTAATCGTAAGAGCAGGGACCAGAGGTGGAGCATCGTGGTTTAAAGCAAAGAACATACTTTCGCAGTGACTAATCTGATTAGTCTGCTGAGAGCTGAAGCCCGTTCCCACAAATAGCTCAGCGGATGTGTCCCCAGCCACTGGCGGTGCAGTGTTCAGTGCGAGCACTGCTCCACGCCCCCCCAACACTGCTTCCGCTCGGCCCATCCTGGGATTTTAGCCATTCCCCATTGGTCCCGAAATGGAGAGGTGCACAACCCCCCCCCCAAGTGAAGCAGGGTCTGGAAACCCCCTCACCTTGCTGCTCTGGGTACTGAATGCAGCCGTCAACGACTGCTTGTGTCCCAGGAGACGCGTGTGAACGGCCTTCACTGGTCTGCGAGGACAGCTGAGCGAAACCGGCATGTAGACAGAGCAGAAACTGAGAGGGGAGACTATAGGAGAATGATGATTTAAAAAATAAAACCTCTTTATGCACCAGTGCAGCTCCGCACCAGCTCAGTGCGTTTGTCACATCTGATCGCGGATGCTCCCCCCCCCGTTCTCTGTGCAGGCAAAACGCAGAGCTGGCCAAACTGCGTCAGGAATGCACCAAGCTCTCTAAGGAGCTGGGGGACAAGAGCGACGCCCTGCTGGCAGACGAGCAGCAGCGCAAAGCCCTGGAGGCCAAGGTGGTGGCCTCTGAGAAACAGCTGGCCCAGGTCCAGGTGTGTACGGCCTGCCTGCTGCACTACAGCGCCCTCCTGTGGATCTCCACCAGAACAGTCACTGCCAGAATGCCTTAGTCAAAAATAGTGTGAATACCTCACCCCAGTTAAGCCCGTTTGCCTTAGTTGCTCTGACCCTAAACCACTCTTCTGGTTCTTGTCTGTAATTTTGTAATCTTGTCTGTAAGGCCATGATGTGCAGAAAGTGTGTTAATGGTGGATGGAGAAGAAATGCTTGCTGGTTTCTATTCTTTTAAAAAGAATGAATGTGTGAATGAAAGACTTGATCACCCATCAGATGTATAAAGTCATTTTACCGGGAGTGACAGGTGTCAGTAAGGGGTAGAATTATCAAACCCTGTCCTAGCTTAGCTGTATGTTTTCCTGTTCATGGCTCACTGTTGCCCCCTATAGGCCAGCCAGCTGCAAAGCACGCATGCTCTGCAGCATCGTCTAGAGGAGGTAAGCGATGAGCTCCGCAAGGCCCAGAGCACCAGCGGCAGCCTACAGACGGAGCTGGACAAGGCCCGACAGGAGGTGTCCAGCCTGGCCGGTCAGTCTGCATCACATGTTGTTCTGTAAGAACTATGTGCTGTGTGCTTCTTCCAGAAGATTCTGAAGTTTTCCTGCCCTTGGGTCTTGACCCTAAAACCTGCTGGTAGAATTTCTTACCTGCTGTGGGATCTGCACTTTCTGTCTGCCTCCCACAAACCCTTGTATACTGCTGCTCCCTCCTTACACCCCCCACAGAGGTCCAGGCACGTGCAGCCAGCGGCGAAGCTGAACTGAAAGGATCCCGTGCCCAGGAGGAGAACCTACGGACCCAGCTGGCCCAAGGCGAGACGGAGCGTGTCCAGCTGCAGGAACGGATCCGCTCCATTGAGGCCCTGCTGGAAGCCGGCCTGAAGAAACAGGAGCAGGAAGCAGAACTGGTATGGGTCTTTGCTGGGCCATTTGGGGTTTCCTTTTGACTGTCTGTACCACCTTCTGATTTTGAATGCCGTCCTTGAAAATTTGTCTTGAGCTTTCTGGATCCTTGTTGTGTGTTGATGTTGACTTGCGCGTATTTCTGAGCGCAATTCCAAATTGCATGTGATCTGGGAGCCTGATTGGCAGTGTCCGTTTTGCATTTCCAGCTCTCCAGATCTGCAGACACACAAGAGCTGCAGAGCAGGTACCCTCTCGCCCGTCCGTCTCTTCGATGGGGCCCATTCAGGTGTGAGCATCTTTTAGAAAAGCTCTTCCTCTCTCAGCTTGAAGGAGAAGGAGTGCCTGGTGGCCTCACTGGAGGAGGAGCTCAAGCAGCTGAAAGACAAGATGGAAAATGTGAGGAAGGCCAGCGCCGTAGGTTCCCGACATCCACAGGGGCACCAGTGAGAAGTTCTGAGTCCCGTGGGCTGCAACACCAACACAAAGAAGGTTCAGCCTGGTGATTTTGGATTTTTGTGTTTTCCCCCAGCAGAACCGTGTCATGGAGGTGGACCAGCTGCACAGAAGGTCTGTTTGATTGCTTTTACACCCGTTTTTAATCTATGGAAGCTTTTAATAAGCAAATGATTCAAAGCCATATTGTCCTTTTCAGCTTGAAGGAGAAAGAAGACCATGTCAGCACCATGGAGAAGGAGCTGAAGGAGCTGAAGGCTGAAAGGGAGCAGGTGAGCGATCCCAGTGGTGTACGTTTGCCTCGCTGGCCGGACCATCCGTCGAAAAGCCTGCTGACTCCTGCTGCGTTCCTGTTATTCTCTCTTTCAGATGTATAATGTAACGATTATTTGATCTCTGCAGAATTAGTAGTCATTCCATATCAAATAACCCAGTTTGAGAGAAATTTCCCAGGTCACCCTCTGATTCCCCTGGAAAAAAAATCACGTACTCTCCTCTACCAAACTTAGAGAAATCCAAAATATTAGGTACGTCTCTCTAATAGTTTTGAAACTACAGCCTTTTGAAGTTTCAGCTTATGAATTTTGCTGACTGTTCAGGTCCAACTTCCAACATTCATAGCTTCATAATGCTTTACGAGGCATTTGTAATGCATTATAATGGTTGGTATACGAATTAATAGAGAATTAGAGAACAGTTGTCAAATCATTTTCAGATAAAACATGGTAAAAATACGAAAAGGAATTTTTAACTTGCATTTTGAATTTTTGGCCCTTTTCATGGCATTTTAGAAGGGAAATTTACATAACTCACTGATCTGATTACATTTTTAAATGTTACTAACTAGTCACCAAGTTTCAAAGCTGTACGTGCCATGTTAAAGGAGCGATGCATATTGAAAGATGGGCTGAAACACTGAGTCAGAAACATGCATAAAATTTCAAAAGGCTGTAGTTTCAAGACTTAGACCCAATATTTGTTTGGTATAGGAGTACCTGCAGATGTTTTCAGGGGAATTTGAGGGGGTGACCCTAGACCCTCTGGGTGATTTGATATGGAATGACCCTGTAATTCTACAAGTGTAATGGTGTGGATCAGTGGGTTAGGTTGCTAATCAGAAGGTTGCTGGTTCAAATCCCAGAGTCGTCAATGATTGTGCTATTGGATTGTTGAGCGAGGCCCTTAACCCCCCCCCTGATTTCAATTGTACGTTGCTTTGGATAAAAGGATCTACTAAATAGACTGTAGTTGTTATTCAGCAGGAGAATCTAAATGTTTCTCTTGTAATGGGTTTATTTCAGCGACTGGACAATGCAGCCATGGTGGCCCAGCTACAGGAAAGGTTTGTTTTGGTGATGTCATTCACCACCACCCCCACTCCAAGCACCGCAACCTTTAATTTCTCACCTTTCTGCTGCTTACAGTTTGAGAGATAGAGACTCACAGGTGGTTTCACTAGAAAGAGAGGTACAAAAGCTTGAAGAGGAGGTAGAAGACAAGAGCAGGACCTTGGTGAGTCTGCCGTGAAGACACTGGCCAATGGAGTCGGCATCCCCAATTTATGGCACAACCATCATTCTCATTAAATTGGACAGTTTATTGTTCTGTGCAAGATTAAGAGAAATCCTTGAATCTGCTAGAACTGATCACATAATTTGCCTGTGGTGTTAACATGCGCTGGTGATTCTGTTGTTCTTAGCAATCTGACAGCATGGCCCAGCTGGAGCAGTTACAAAGCAGGTACAAATTTAAACATTAAACAAAGCCCCTGTTGTACAGCTGTCAGTGTGTGTGCATTCACACGGAGTGAATTTTTCCAGTCTGAAGGACAAAGAGGGTCTGGTCACATCATTGAAAGCTGATCTTCAGCAGCTGAGGGGAGAAATGGAGCAAGGGAAAAGCAGGAGCAGTGTAAGCCCCGCCCTCACTCCACACCCATGCCTGCTATTGGTCACCGCTGTTTTTCTGTCCAATTGTACTTGAAATTAGCTCTGTTAGAATGTGATGGAGAAGCCATTCTTGATATATTTACCTGTGCAAACTATCCTGGATGGATACGTCCGTTGGTGGACTAAGCCATCTGACCATTTGGCAAATGACGTGTGATTAATCGAAGGATTTAAAGGTTTGTTCCTTTTTTATTTGTGGGATTGCAAGAATGTTAGCAGATAAGGTTTGTCTGGGCTGAAGCCATCTACTTATAAAACGCTACCTGCCGTGGGAGTATTTTGGCTGTAGCTCTGAAGCCGAGATCACGTACATGTGTGGTAAATGCAGGCAAGCGAGTGTTGTGAGCCCACATTATCCCGGTGTGAAGCCGGGGAGTCCCCGTAGTCGTGTTTGTGGAGAGTGATGTAGGTGAGGAGGCTGTTAAGCCAAGTTCTGCACACTTGGCCTGTATACTTAAGGGTAGCCTGGAGACTGTTAGTTTGCTACAAAGTCTTGACTGCAGTGTAACCTTTAGACCAGATAAGGTATCACTTTAGCTTAACTAGGCACTTTCTGAATAATCCAAATTTTGTGCTTCTTGCACTGATTATTTGCCCTTAAGTCCTTGAGTGCTCACTGTCCCCCCGATCTCCAACTTGGGTCATCCAATGACATTGTAGATTAGGCTACGGTGGCATCTTTTTTTTTTTTTTCTTTCATACCATCAGACCTTGCAGACATTTCCCCTTGGCATACTGTGTATGATGATGTTTATTTAAATGTAAATCTTGTAGGCTACTGTACACTCTGGAATCAGAGCCGGAGAAGTTGAGCACTTGGGAAACGAGGAGATGAGTTGAAAAGATCAGCCTTTGTTTGGCAGCACTCACTGCCCGTCTGGCCGTATGCGTACCGGGTTTCACACGCCTGCACATTCTCCAGCAGTTTACAGCACATTCATAAGATACTGCCCAAAAGTATTGCAGATGATAAATGATTAAACAACAAGGGTGCGTACTTTGTGTTGGAAAGTCACACAATATGCTCATGTAGTTTCAAGTACAGAAGAACCTTGGAACTCGAATGCCTCTTAACTCGAGCCAAGTCGGACATCGAACAGGTCGGTCATGGAAAATCTATCCACAACTCAACTTTAAACTCGGAACATGATAAAACAAAACTGACCTGCTAAAACTTGAATGGATCAAGATGCGTCTCTGATGGGCTGAAACAAAGGCAACTGGACCTGCTGTGATGCTTATGCCTATGAATGGATCTCAGTCTCTCGGTTCCTCTCCACGGAGTTCGACGTGCGAAAGCAGTGTTCCTGTTTGGTGTGGTTTTTTGTGTGCTTTATCTACACTACAGTACATTTAGTGATACACTAAAAATGCCCCCAAAAAGTGAGCAGTGATAACATGATAGTGGTGACAGTAACTGTAGAACTTAACTTACATTATTTCTTATGTAGAAATTCGACTTAGACCTCGATCAAATGGCAACTCGACCATCCTACCTGAAAGAATTAAACTTGTGTTCCAAGGTACCACTGCATTGTAATGGCCCAGGAGAGGAAGTGAGCCCCCTTGTGGCCAACAGTTGTATGCCTCCATTCACAGGGTATTGAGCAGCAGTTGAGTGAAGTTAAGAATGAGACAAGGATGGCTCTTCAGTCCCTCTTCCCTCACATCTCCATAGAAACAGAACAGGTAAATGCATAACCGCTGTCCCATCCTTGATGCCATTAAACCAAACGGCTAACAGATTTGGCATTCTTTGTGTCATTACGAACACCCATGATTTAATTTTGGTGGGCTTTTTGCCTTGGTTGGGTTCAGATCACAATGGCCTTATCTGCAGTGTGCACGGAACCATCTTTCCCTTTTATTTCAGGCTCATTGGCTGCAAGAATTTGCACAGAGAGCCCATGAGGATTTACAAAGCCGGAAGAACCAGGGGGCCCAACAGACGAAAGAATCGCCCGTAAGCATCTGCCTGCTTTTCAGTGCCCCTCTGAACTTCGACGGGGGGGATTTGTGCAGGGATTAACGCAAGCAGCTCGTACATTAGCTGAAGCCTTTCGCCCGTCGCCGTTAAAGGAGCTGCAGGGGATGCTGAACGCGGCTGAGGAGTCCAGGAGCATCCTGCAGGCCGAATGCGATCAGTACAGGACTGTCCTGGCAGAAACCGTAAGTCTGGGGCTGCCGGTCGCTCAGGCAGGGGGGGGGGGGCGGGGCATGCTGAGGCACCTTCAGTTAAGCTCCCCTCTATAGCAATGGCTGTGTGTGACACCCCTCTGCAGGAAGGCATGCTGAAGCACCTGCAGAAGAGCGTGGAGGAGGAGGAGCACGTGTGGCGAGGCAAGATGGAGCAATCAGAGGAGCAGCTCAGGAAGGTGACTGTCGGCCATCTTAAATGCCCCCCGCCCCCCAAGAGCCCCTGCACCTGGAACACTCATCTGTCTGTCTGTAGGCCTTGGACCAGGTATACACCCTGGAAACAGCCATGGAAACGGCAAGGACAGAAAACCAAAGCACAGAACAGGTGATTGCAACCACAGCTTAGCGTGTCTCTGTGTGGTGATTAAATGTGACCCCAGGCAGAAATGCTATTAGAGCTGTAGCGGTGACACACTCGGGGGCTGCTGGAAGCATGTTCTAGCTGTGATGGAGTGGGGGGGGCGGTGTTTCTGGATTGGATCATCAATTTATTCTCATGGGTGCAGCTCAGGAGTCAGGTGATGCTTCTGGAGGCTCAGCTGGAGAAGCAGATGGAAGCTGCCAGCTCATACGACCAGAGTACCTCTGAGGAGATGACCCAGGTACAGGGGTCGTGCATCATCCTTGTGACAACGTCATGCACCACTAGCGAAGAGCCAGTGCCACGTAGTCACCTATGGAAGTGGACTGCCATTAGTTTTCTCTCACCATCATAGTGATGGATCATGTGACTGGACTCGTTTGCTGTGAGCTAATGACTTTCCCTTCTTTTGCAGCTGAAGCAGTTGCTGTCAGAGACTCAAATCCAACTGGAAACAGCCCAATTAGAAGCCCAGAAACAGAGGGAGGAGCTGGTCCTGGTGAGGGTTGCCGTTGGGCAAATCATCAGCTTTAATATCAATCAGTGTTCTTGTCCCCAAACTGCATTTTGTCCAGCCTGGCCTGCAGTTTTTCGGTTGCTGTGATGTGATCTCTGCTCTTGCCGTAAGAGGAATGACGATTTGGTGGGCTGGTGTTAAGCTTTCTGATCATTGAATAAGAGGGAGGGAATGGGAGGGCATTGGCAAGGGGGGGGCAGGGCCTGTGATGAGCGACAGCTTCCTGTTGCAGGTCAGGCAGCGCCTGAGCGAGATGATGGAAGGCACGTGGGAAGCGGACAAGCCCCGCGGGCCGCAGAACGGCCAGCTGGAGCCTGTCCAGGTCAGGGCTCGAGGCCGTGTTGGGGCGAGTGGGGGCATGCTGGGGGACACTGGGTATGGACTGGAGGTTACGGCCCTGCTCCTTTGCGGGGGAGACCTCCGTGTTTATGGTTTTCCAGTTCACCTTGCTTGCAGACACCTTGCATCTGGAACTGTTGAGATTTGGTGTCCAGGCAGCTGTTCCTGTAGTAACTGATCACTGCTAAAACCCAACGCATGCTATGTCCTTAGACATCCAATATATACACTGACTGGTGCTTCTATGAGCAGCCCAATCTCTTCTTTCAGCAAGTTCTGACCCCAGTGTGCCCCAGAAACAGCCACTAGCAGTTTGCTACCAACCCCCCCCCCCCCCACAACATGTGGTTACTTTATTTTTAGCCTCCTAGACGTTTTTCAGGATGCCTGTCTTCTCACTCTGGCATGTTCATTACTGTGCTTTTCCCCTCACCTGCTAATGAGTCATTCTAACACTTCTGTGCCAACGGCTGCCTCGTCCTGGAGGCCTTGTATTACAGTGCCCACTGCAGTCTGGAATGAGCAGTGCGGCCTGACAGATTAATGTTATGGTTTTCTTATGCCTGATTGGGTGGGGGCGGGGATTGGGGCAGAGCCAGCCCACCAATGAAATGCACAATTAACCCTTATTGGTCTGCATCTCTGCCTATCACTGGATACCTGTGCTCCTTTCAGACATAATCTCTCCCACAGGTCCTCTCCCAGTTGCAGCAGGCAGAGAAGACCATAGAGACTGAGATGGCACTGAGGCAGGGACTCACTGAGGAGTTTGAACAGGTATCCCTGGCCCAGCTGCCAAGGCCTCTCATTCCACGCATTCCCCTCCAGCGCCATGTCAAACGTGGCAGGAGCTTACAGGCCTTGGCTTGACAACACAGGCGGTTTCTATAGCCTTGGGTCCCAGTTGGAGAGGAAGCCGCATAAAGCTCCCTGTGGGCCAATGACGTAACAGCAGCTGACTGGGGGAGGAGGAACCAACACGTGTACCTAAGCCAGTGTTTCCCAACGCAGTCCTCAGGGACCCCAGACAGTCCATATTTTTGTTTTCTCCCGGCTCTGAGTTCTTGATTGGTTGGAAGCTGGGAAGGAGAAAAAATATGGACTGTCTGGGGTCCCTGAGGACTGGGTTGGGAAACACTGACCTAAGCATTGTCAGAAGTTACTACTGTAGTGGTATATGGCTCTGGGTTAGGGGCCTGTGCTTGTGTTTGGAAGATCATTGGATGAAAACCTGTGGTTGGCGGAGTGATGTCACCATTGGGCCCTTGAGCGAGGCCCCGAACCCCCAGCTGCTCTGGGGACTGGCTGATCCTGCCTTCTCAGAAGGGGAAGAGTTGCTTTGGATAAGTGCTAAATAAATAAGATCTAAAAGTATTTTAGCAATATTCTTGAAGTTCTTTTCACATTTGTATTTCACAGAATTTCCAGGGAAAGATCTTTAAATGGGTGTGAAGCAGAAGGGTTTTTATTCACCTGATTATATCTGAATTTAAACATCATGGCTCTAGGGTCTTGCATGACCCTGCTTTCTCTCTGCGTTGCTTTGGATTGAAGCATCTGCTAAATAAATGTGATTCTGTGAATCCTACATCTGACAGCTTCACCGTATTCGTACCACAGCCCCTGGGCAGCTACCCAGCTGTGCAGTAACACCCGTCTAACTGACGCTGCTCAGAGAGGGATCCCTCATTGAGACATATAGCAGGCCTGTCAGCTTTGACCTTGTGTGTCTTCATTGACCCTCCCTCCCTTCGCACTCCTAACCCTCAAGGCTCAGCGGTGTGTCGTCGACCTGCAGACCCAGCTAGACCTGCTGAAGGCTGTTGGCTCCGCCCCAGACACCGAAGACGTGACCCAGCTCAAGGTACGGGTATCTGGCAGTGCTGTGCGGAATAGCCTTTCACACTCCAGACTGGGTGGAAAGAGACCTGCCAGCCATTGGCTAATCGTAGCTCTCATCTGTGTTCCTGGGTGCTTCAGGAGCGGCTGGAAAAGGAGAAGAAGCTGTCCAAAGACCTGGGCCAGGCAGCCACCAAGCTTCAGCAGCTGCTGAGAACCACCCAGGAGCAGCTCACCAAAGAAAGAGACACTGTCAGGAAGCTGCAGGACCAGCTACAGGCAAAGGTAACATGCCGGAGCCACCGGGGGCCGCTCAGATTATCACGATTTGAGGCATGAACACACATTCGTAATATAAAACTATCACAAAAAGATGAAGCTCAGTATTACTCTTGCTAAGTGTCAATCATTCAATACTTAATTTTAAAGCTGCCAGCCCCAATACTTTTATTTCCTGAAAATTCCATATGCATATCTAGCCCTTTGGGCTTTCATATGGACTGATGTCTATCCCTTACTGTGTAATGGCCCCCCCGTGCTGGTGTTCATAGTGGACCTTCAGATCCTGGATGCCGATGTCAGGCTGTGTGGAGAATGCTAACATGGCCAATTCGAATGCTGCAAGCTGCTGTCGAACTGGGACAAAGCGTACAAGTGTACCCAGCAACAGGCCAAACACGCGAGCCACGTCCGAGCTGGCCTGAGTGCAGGGTGATGTTTTCTCAGCCAACTCAAGTCTGCCTTTCTCTCTCTTCCAGGATGGAACTGATGAACTGAAGGAGGGGACCTCTGTTTGAGACCGAGACACTACAAAGTTATCAAATTGCCTTGCAATTCACTATAGTTATGCATTCCTGAAATATATGCTGTTTATTGTACTGTAGTTTATAATTTTTTTTTTTTCTGAAACTTAAGGAAAAAGGAATTAGCGATGAACATTTCATTGCAAAGGAGAGGGCTAAAATAGTGATGTACACCTTTTTATAAATATCTAAATGTACATTCCAACAGGTGACTTCTGGCTGTGTCAGAGATTTGACCCAATCTGCCTTATGTTGACAGATTATCCCCCCCCCCACCCCCCACTTCAGTGTTAAAAGGGAAGTCATGTGTACGTTAAACGTACATCATCTAGTGCAATTTTACTTTTTTGTTCCAAAAAGTAGAAATGTTATGGTACAAGGATGCAAAACATGTATCGCCTTCTACTTAGTGTAGCTGGTTGTCAACAGAAATGTGTGAATTTGATGAAGAATAAACTACAATGTAACTGCAACTGCTCTATATTTTCTGGATTTCTAATGTGCTACATAAAGGTGGACTTGTAACTGCGAGGTGGTTAAAAAAGATGCGGTTTCTGCTGGAGGTGGACAAATCAGGTTGTGCTAGACATGTAGGGGTTCACTTGTTTAATTGCTTGACTTTGTATACATTGGAAACTCAGACTGAAGCTTGACAGAAGGGTTTTAATAAAATGGAGAAAATGTACGTAACACATCTGAGTTTTCCTGCTGGCAGCCATCACAGCACTTTCCACGTAGGGTGGAGAGGTTTTGAAAAAGTGAATAACAAGCTTCACCCGGTTAGGAAAAAAAAACAAAAAACGAAGGCTTTTTAGTTTCGAGCGAGCGGAGGGTTTTGAGCTTTGAGCAGTCAGTTTCCTGGCTTTCGAAAATTGACCGTGTTGCTGGTAACTACATAAGGTGGAAAAACTGTGAGGTGACGTCCTCAGGTAGAGCGATGGTGACCACTGGGGCATCACGTACAACGGCTTCCCCTCGATAGTCTTCACTCAGTCTAACTAATTTGACGGCAAGTTCTGATGGCTGGTGTCTCAACATTCTCTGTGATCTCCCATTCGCACCTAATGCCTGTGGAATTAACCAAATGGAGCCCCAGGTAAGGACTATACAAGTCGTACTTACACATATACAGTAATACAGTTGTCCCTCGCCATTTCGCGGCTTCACTCTATCGCGGTTTTTTCAAATACATTTATTCATTAAAAAGTTGACAGACAGTGAAAATGATACAGCCCGCGCTCGGTTGTCTGAGTCAATTATACACCTCTGTATTACAATTAAAATTTTAATTACTGTACGTATGGACTGTAGGCCTATGTATTCGAGCACCCCCGCAAATCCTTGTTCAACGCCAGGTGCAGCCGAATAATAAAGAAATAAAGAATCCTACTTCGCGGAAATTCATTTAACGCGGTAGTCTGGAACGGATTAACCGCGATAAACGAGGGGCGACTATACAAATTTAGATCTTATGTGCACACCCCCCCCCTCCCTTTTCCCCTATCACTATGTCCCACCTGCTGTTAGATACTAGGGGGTTTCAACCATCTCTCTCCTCCACAAAAAATCAGATGCTGGATGTGTAATGGCACAGATAAAGCCTGTTACCTTGTAGTTTTATCTTGAGGGCAGTCCTGACATCTGTATATGCCTTCGTATTTCTAACTGAAGCATTTTCTGGATTCCTGTGTTTTAAAAAAGATCTCATGGTTAATGGGTTCACATTTGCCCACTCCCCGTTTTGGAATACTTTAACATTGGCCAGCTGATGCTTTGTTGCGGGCCCAGCTTCACGGGGGTGCCAGGGTGGGCCTGGTCAACCCACCCAAGAGGGGAAAGAAAAATAGAAAAATGTTCTTCTCCGGAAGTGATTCTGATTCTGTGGGATCATGAAATACATTTTGTCTTTTGCGAATCAGTATTTTATTGCAAGATATGATAAAGAAGCATTTTAACTAACTTATTTGATTTAATCATTAATTCCACTAAGTCCCCGACACCCCTTGTGAATTTAGCGCTATTTCTAAACGTGCGGCTTCATCAACAGCTTCAGACTCACCATTGCTGAAGCGTTTCGGATCGCATCCCCTGACGTAACCACTACTTTTGAAGTCAGTGTGCGCCGCAAGAAGGGACCGTATGGGCTGATATTTGTGCCACTAGAAACTGAATATGAATTTTGTATATTTTAATCTGCAGTTATCCGGACTACAAAACTGAATCTGAATTTAATAGTTTGAATTTGAATTCCAGTAACTCGAAATAGCATTTATCCTACCTCGAAAAATTCAGTTTGCGAATTCAATTTCAATCTAGTGTGACACACATCCGGGTTCTTGAGCAAAAGTAATCGACCGCAGATTCACAATGCAACTCATTTCCACGTTTACGACTTTTCTACTAACATTTTAAATAAAACAACAACAGCCAGCCAAACAACATAAATATGCACATGTTAACATGATTAAGAATATTTCATATCGTTCATAATTGGTAAGACAGTAACTCGAAAACGTACCATTTTTACACTTAATTAGCACTAACTTAGCAAATAGGAAACGATTCCCCGGTTGCACTTCCTGTTGTGGCTGAGCGTGCACATGACGTCAGTGGCTGAGCGTGCAGATGGCTGAGAGTGCACGTTCTGAGCGGCTGCAGCCAGACCCTTTTGAGCTTCAATGCCCCCCAGCAACCTTCAACGGGTGCAAGGAGCATGCTGGGACTAGCGACACCTACCCGCGACACAGTGAAATCAGCTGGCTAAGTTGGCACCTGTGTCACCTCATGGATTGACTGGCACAAGTTCTCACCCATTGTGGGTAAATAAGGAAGGATAAGATGAACTGGCTGTGCTATTGGTGGAATATGCCAGGATTGTGTTGAGGGAGGGGGCACGTGTACGATGTGTGTGCCAGAGAGGTGTTAGGGTTTGAGGTGTTCCCCTCACCTGATGCTGCCCATTATCTTTTATGGAATTCAACCAGGTTCTTTGCAGAAATCTGACAACACTGAATCATTACCCTGAATCATCTCTGATTCATGCACTGACTAATTAATCACCATATAATATAAAATGCCATTGGCTGTTCTGGGGACAGCCTATAAGAGCCTCCAAGGATGGTTTTCACTGCTAATTGGCCATAGTCTGTGTGCCCTGCAAGTGGACTGGCATCCCATCCAGGGCATCCAGCCTGGCATGTGCTGCATGGGAAGTTCTAGGCCTGGACCCTGCCCAGGAGACATGGTCAGAAGTGTCATTATTCTTTATTTTTTTTTATTTTTTTCCATTGTGCTCTTTTGTATGTTTAATGTACTGGATGCCTAAATTTTGCCCAGGATGAATGAAGTATCTGTATCTATCTGTCAATCTAATCTAAAAGACTAAACAGCACACAGCAGAAAACATCCAAGATATAGACACATCAAAAGCATGATTTCTCGGACATTTCTTCCTACTTGGGTTTTTTTTTGGCCCGACATGACATGACTTGACAGGAATCTCCAGTTAAGTTTCTCTGTGTGTCTGCTTCTATTTGAGGAGTGGAGGTTATGTGGACAGGAACTGGGAAGACTTGCTGTTTTTGGAAACGTAGGCCCAAGACAGAAACTGAAATAATTCAAAACGTAGGCCGACTGTAAACGCAGGCAGGCCCCCAAAGGTGCCTTAGTTTAATAGGCCTGCCACAGATGATTCTGAAGCATCTTCAGGCATAGAGTTAATGGTACAGTATTAGGATGGCAGAGAGTAAGAAAGGTGCTGCCATCTTCTGGTCAAAATTTGTAATTACAAGCTCAGTCTACATTCTGTAAAAGCCATAGGATATATGCCAAACACCCTACTGACGTGATAAACAGTACAGTAAAAGCAACCGTCCTACACATAAAACTAGAATAATAAGTCATTTTGTGAAAGAAAAACCCCATTTCCAATACAGTAGGCTAAACATGAACGAACTACTTTTTAAAAAAAAATTATAACCTGACTTTCGTTGTATCTTATCTGTTCTCAAACTTTGAACTCTCAACTTGCATCATTTTCCCAGTTGCATCTCCTGGCAGTTGCAGATTTGACACCTTCCTCTGATCTGGAGTTTAATTCATAGCCACACAAAACCACTGCAAATAGAAGGGAACACGAAATTTGAATTGTAATTTTGCGGTCACTTATTACAACTCATATATGCGAAGGGCAGCAAAGTTAAACTGACCTGTGACATGTCCAGCTGAATTTTCCCAGATTTATTCATGTCAAGCTTTTCGAACATTCCTGAATGGGGTGAAATGCAAACTGAATCTTTACATGTGGACATTAACTAGATGTTGTTAAATCATTATTGTATTTGTTAAAAAAAAAAAACCATTGCACCTAAAAAGTGACAGAAACTCACTGAAGAGCATCTCGACTCGAATCAAGGCACTCAGGAAGCTGTCAAAGTCGACTGAAGACTCTGAATTGGCATAACGGCTCACAATGACCTGAAGCACCGCGTTGTTCACCTGGAAACCTGCAAAACCCGAGCACATTAAATCCTGCATTTTCACTACAGCGCCACACACCACGGTCACAGTGAATCCAAGAGAGATTCCTGCATGCCAAGCAAACATACCTTAAAGCATGTACCAAAGATGAATCAGCAATGCAATAATAATTGCAATATATCAAAAGTACTTTTGTTGAGAATGAACTGAAAATTTCAAAGGAAGTTGATGTAGTTTAGCTGCCTTAACATTTTATACAAAGAAAGATTATATCTTTTGTGTGCTGCAGGCATTTGTTCACTCTTATTCTTTGGTAACCATGTGGACCATGTGGTGCTGTCTGACAGTATTGTCTCTCTAAATATCTGGTATTACTGTGAATGCACTAAAGATGAGCTGATGGGCTTCACGGTCTGGCTCATTGTACCTGCTTGGGAGAGAGCCTCTCTCATCTCGTGGCTGTTCATGGCACCAGAGTTGTCAGCATCAGCGCTCCGGAAGATTTTCTGGAGGATCAACACATGACAAGCGTGACGGTGACGAGATATGAGAGCTCAGCCAGGGTGCTTTGAGTGCAGAACTGTGGTGAGGGACATCGCTCCATCCATGATACCAGACCTGATACTGCTGGATCTTCATCCAGAGAACATGGAACTCGGTTAGGCTCAGCTTCCCATTTCCATCTTTCTGGTTATAGAAGGTCAAGGTTGTACCACATGCATGGAACTAAATAAGTGTGGATAAATGCAGCTTTTATTTCAGTACAAACAGGTGCATGATTCCTGTTTTCAGCTGACTAGCAAATGTTCTAATTTTTTTCTAGTTGGTTCGGAACAGGATTATTAAAGTTGTCTGTCTGTCTATCTAATACAGACAGGACTGTGTTTGGCGGTGTTTATTTGGGCAAATGTTAACATACTCTGCAGATGATGATAATTCAGGTGAACAAAAGGGTACATCCAGGAGATTGACGATGCTGCGACAGGTCTCCAGTGTGATGCCTTCTGACGGGATGCTTGTTTCTGAAAAAGTCACAAGTTCTGCTGGGACGGTGGTCTATCCAGGGTGTGAGCAGGAAATTCAAACAGAAGTGTGGTACTGATTGAGGCATGGACTGTGTTCATATTGCTACATCACTAGTAACCTCTGATAGCTCATAACTCACTTTTTGACAAGACGTGGTTCAAAACCTGCAGTAGCTCAGGTGCTGACAGCTCTGAATCCTGTTTGGGTGGATTACAGTGAATCTTACGTCAGCAAAAAGACTGTAAACCATTAAAAAATATGATTTGAATGATTGATTAATAGTCAACATTCTAGACAACTGTCATGGCAACAAATTATAGTTTACGCAGAAACCAAATGTAATGGCTTTGTTAGCAGCTCTAGTAAGATGTTTTCAGGAACAATAATATTTTTTTTTATCTAAATAATAATCAAACCAGAGATACTTTGCATGAGCCAATTACCAAGAGACAGCAAATTCTTTACCAGGATGCGAGATGAAAAACTTACATTTCCTGAAATTTCCTTGAACAGCTGCTTGAACTGGGGATCCATGTCATCTTTCGAAATTTTATTCTGTAAACCATTTAAGAAGACTTGCATATTTATTAGTGTTGGCGTCTTTGTGTATTATAGAATATGTATCGATGTATAGGCTAGTTCAATATGTTTAATTCAAACTACAAAGTCACTGATCTAGCACATTTTTCAGAGGTATATCTGAATTTGCACTGATATGGAAACAAAATATAATGCATTGTAATCTTTATATGCTAAGTACTTCATTTGCGGTATACAGCTTAAAATGCAAGCTATTTTCCTGTCATAGCAACGCAAATGCACATAAAATAAGTACGCATCTGCACTTTTACAAACAATCGATTCTCGCACGTATCGTTTTTAAAGGCGAATGCGTACTTGCGTACCAGTTATGTTCATCCCTGTTTATATATTATTTTATTTGTTTTTCTTTAAGCATTAGAGTGTCAACATCCAGGAGAAACTAATACTTTGACTTACCTGGACTACATTCATGCTCAGACCTGCTGCCATTGGTCTGCAACAAAAAAAAATCATAATATCATTGGCTAAAACAGTCAGATGCAGAGATTTTGAAGACTCTCTGGTCCTTGCCAAAGTTCAAAGGCCTACATGTTGAACATGACAGTTATAGCACAGTTAGTTTGGACAAATACACAGCTCCTGAAAACCTTATTGTTTATCTGAAGATGGGATCATCAGCGTGTCCACACAAGGATGAATGTGTCAATGTGAAAATGTTTTGATTGAGGGGAAAAAAAAGCTATGTATGCTACGTTTTTTTAAAATACCATGTTATCAGTAAAAATTGCATTTTGATCCAAACGTCCGTCAGAATTCGCCCTGGCGTTGACCCACAATCTGAACAAACTGAAACGCGGACGAAATACAGAGGACTAAGTCTTACACATTATATGTTAACTTTTAAACTGAAATCAAGCTCCTATGAAATCCATATATTTAGGCCCATCACGAACCTGACCAAGATAAGCGCTTGAAAGTTGGATGGATTTATATAATAAAGGTCCCGTGTCATTGGTGTCTAAAATGTGATGTGTTTATGATACGTAATGGCAGGATTTTAAAAGACTCTTTATGCCCACCTGGTGCTCGCTTGCTTCTCAGTGAAGACCCGCAACAGGAAGCTGCCGTGCTTGTGAGGCTCAAAGGTGGAGGGGATGATGACGTACTC